CAGGAAGGGCCAAAGTAGGTCTCACGCCTGCGCTTTCCATGAAGAAATGAAAAGTGCTAGAGACTTCCTTGTTGCGCCATACGAACAAACTTGGAAGCCGCTTTCATTTGAGTATAAATAAAGTTATGTTCTGCTGGATTTTGAGCGCGTCCAACACGCTTTCAAACGAGTGAGATCTGCTCATGCAGATAAGGTCCTCCAGTCCAAAATTCTTTCCGAATGTCACAGGACAAAATCTCGTTTCCGGATGGAAATATGCAACTTTGTATGCTCTTTCCAGCTAGCAGTATGAGAACGCTTGTTAGTATTAGGTAAGGGCGGATTTCGCTTAGCCGGCACCCTTGAAAACGCTTCAATTCAGAACTTATGGCCGAGGAAAAACCGTGTTTGGAATAATTTTTTCATGAGGCGTCAGGGATCTTTACATACCTTTAGCAGGACTATCGATTGCATACAGTCAAACCTTCCCGGCTTTCAGGTCATGTAATACTGGGCGGACCTGTGCGGAAGTACCCATCTATTAAAGTAGATCTATAGAACTCGACAGTGAATTTATCGCAATAAATAGGATAAGTACCGTGATATTGCCTGTTTTTTCCACCAATATCGAGTTATATCGCCCGATAGTTGCTTAAAAAGTCCTCACGGGAAGTTGTTGAGGTATTTCATCGGTTTTTACTTTGTTTTTTAACAAACAGACATCTTTATACCTAATAAAATCAAGAGATATCAAAATTTCGCTTTGCTATGTTATCAGTGAGGGGAAGTTTCGTTCAAGACTCCCACATCCCGCTCAGAAATTTATTGAGGCAAGTTAAAGGATGTACGTTTTTTTTACATATGGTTTTTCAAAGTGATTATCCTGGTATACGAAATCCGTACTTTCGACCTTTGAGCATGCTTATTCACATACCGAAAAAAATCCCTCACTCTTTTTATCGATGACTAATATAAAATATCTGTGTACGGTATGTTTTTCAGGGACTTGTTGATATACCTTTTTTCTTGTTTTGTTTGAATTATATCTGATGTATTCCCAATAACGTCCTTTTTCTATTCACCTGTATATATAACGTTGCTATCACGTTGTCGTTATTGTACAATATTGTTTACTTTCTTTTTTGCCACGATATACCCTAGTGAGTATACTTCACCGGTGGGTATTTGTTTACTCAAGAATTTCTACGGATACTTGACAGCGCTTGATAAGCATTTTCGAAAAGTACTACATGATAAAGGTCTGAAAGCACTTACCAGGTGCTTGATTTGAAACACCCCTCCCACAGGGGGGCTGGGATGATACAAAGTTGAGGTAAACAAAGATGCTTTTAGCTTACATACAAGGCTACAGCTGTCATTTTGAACTTTTTCGGCTCACTGGCATTATTTGACTGCGAAAAAGTGAATTACTTAAAAATATGATGCTAAGTTTTTGAGCGCAGGCAACTACTGAAAAATTTTGTAGTCCCCCCTCCTTCATCATGATTCTTGTCTAGATCGCTAGAAATGTATAGAGAATATTTACTACGAGAAAGAAAGAAAAAAACCTTTATTCTTTTCTTTCGGTTAATAATAAAATCAATGTTAAGTTCATTTTATTTTAAGTAATTGATTTTTTCTCAGTCAAATAATCTCAGTCAGCCGAAAAAACTTTCAAACTATTATCTGTAAAATAAAACAATGGCCGCGATTACTGTTTGAATAACTTTTGACTGGAATGAGATAGAGACCTGCGGTTTTCAGTACTTGATAGCCGAGATCTGTACGCATCTTTTTAGTTATCTTCGAAATCCATGGTTCAGGTCTGGCAAGGCTTTTCTCCGAAGCACCAGGACTGCCTTCTTTTAGGGCTGGGACCAGTAAAAATGGTTTCAAACATAAGTTTTCGACTATGGTGAATCTCATGATAATGTTTGTTTTCAGAACGAAGTGCAAGAGCCGAGTGGAAACCTGTACTAAGCAAAATAACCCGTTTTTGATTATTTTCATCAAAAATGAAAAAATTCACAATCAGTCAAAATCCATCCAACCTACTTCAAAATCTAAGGAAATACTTTATTTTATATACGGCATACTGTGAAGCTCAATAAATGTTGAAAAAAGCAACAGAAAATTCTTTGCTTGCTAGAAAGGTTACCCAGAAACCCTTGGAACTAAAACAATACTCTTTATTGATTTTACGTACAGAATCAGAGTGAGCGGACAAAATAGAGTATTTTCTTAGATTCCGAAGTAGATTGAATGGATTTTGACTGAGTTGTGAATTTTTTAATTTTGATGAAAATAATCAAATGGGTTATTTCGCTTACGAGGGAACCTCTTGAGGTTATAAATCGCTTTTGAACTCGGACTACTTGTATCTTGTAGACCTTAGTGAGTAGTGAAATATCCTAAGTTAGTTCATCCCCATGGTGCTTTGGAATGGAGTTATACCTATTTTGAGTTTTGATCGAAAGATACAATTTTGCTC